ACAGGACAGCACCGACCACAGCGCATGCCCTTTTTTGATTTCATGAATGCCTTTGACGCTGAAAACTGCATCAGTTTTGGTATCTTAGGATACTCTTCATGAAACCAGGCATAAATCATTAAATAGATCATCAGCTCCAATGTGTCATCTTAGCCTATAGCCAGCTTAGGAAAAGAGTATTTCTTTTATTGATTCATGGGATGAGGGCATCACTGATTAGGCACGCATTTATTGCTCATCCCTAATTGCCCAAAGGGCAGTTAAGAGTCAACCTTATTTTGTGGGTCTAGAGTCACACGTAGGCCAGACTGGGTAAGGATGTCAGATTTCCTTCCTAAAGGACATTAGTGAACCAGATGCGTTTTTCCTGACAATCAGTAATGAATTCATGGTCATCATTAGACTCTTAATTCCAGATTTTTAATTGAATTCAAATTCCACCATCTGCCAATGGCAGGATTTGAACATGGATCCCAGGGATCCAGTTTCTGGATTAGCAGTCCAGCAATAATACCACTGGGCTGTCACCTCCCCAGTTTGAGAACCAGGATCTCATATGCAAGACTAAGGTTATGGCTTGCCAGGAAGCAGTGGTCCTGGTTTCCTACTTGCTACATAAAGGTATAATGGTAATTGTCACAACTGTGTAATTATGATATTATATATTTTGCAAGAAGGCTAATCTATCTTTTTAAAATGGATACAGGATCTTACAAAATAGCTTCCAGAAGTCACATGATTGTGCTTGTTGTTTCACTGTAGCGGGTACAAGCAGACAGACTGATGTGTTATCTCAGTATCAGTCACAAAGGGAAATATTTAGATTTTGAGTAATTCTTAGACCATACAATAGGATCTTTCTTAAGGTGTGAGAATGCAAAGTTTGCCAGATGGAATGACTGCTTTGAAATTGACATAGCGTCCATTTGCACTGGTTATGATCGGGAGGGCTATGAGCCACCATTCAGAATTATAAGTTGAATTCTGAGAGATGCCATTTGAGATTGGGTTTGCAACATGGGTCAAAGGAAAGAAAACCAGCTGAAAGACTACTGTACTGAACCAGGCTACCAAGGACCACAATATGCAGCACCACAGAAATTAAATAAAGGAGCCTTCACCCCTGCTCAGAATCCGTTCCGTTCAGTCCACCTGTGAGAGAAATATTCAAATATGTGGCTACAGAGGCCAACACAGCTACTGAATTGTGACTTCAAGTTTTCAACTCCTTCACTCTGAAAGAGTAATAGAGTCATAGAATTATGCAGCATGGAAACAGACCCTTCAGTCCAATTCATCTGCACTGACAAGATATCCTAAACTAATCTAGTCCCACCTGCCAGTATTTGGCCCATATCCCTTTAACCTTTAGAATTCATGGTTTGAGAGAATATTTGTAGCTCGGGTACTGGTTGTAGATGTTCGTGTGTTCGCCAAGCTGAGAGATTTGATAGCAGATGTTTCATCCCCTTACTAGGTGACATCCTGTGTTGTGGAGCCTCCTGTGAAGCGCTGCTGTCTTGTGCCCATTCAAATTTGTATGGTCCAGTTTTTGCTGCTTCTGGTAGGTGCTGGTTCCGACTGTGCGTTGTATTGGTCGGTATATCGGGTCTAATTCAATGTGTTTGTTGATGGAGTCTGCGAATGAATGCCAAGCCTCCAAGAATTCCCTGGCTGTCCTCTGTTTGGCTTGTCAAGCCAATTCAGCCTCTCTCTATACCTCAAATCCTCCAATCCCGGCATCATCCTTGATTATCTTTTCTGAACCTTCTCAAGTTTGACAACATATTTCCTATAGCAGGGAGACCAGAATTGAACACAGTATTCTAAAAGTGGCATCATCAAATATCCTGTACAGTCACCACATGACACCCTAACTCCTATACTCAATGCACTGACCAATGAAGGCATGCATGTCAAACGTCTTCTTCACCACCCTGTCTATTTATGACTCTACTTTCAAGGAATTATGCACTTGCATCTCCAGGTCTCTTTGTTTGGCAACACTCCCTAGGGCCCCACCATTAACTGTATAAGAGATAGTAGGAACTGCAGATGCTGGAGTCAGAGATAACACAGTGTGGTGCTGGAGGAACACAGCTGGCCAGGCAGTATCAGAGGATCAGTGAAGTTGACATTTTAGGTCAGGACCCTTCTTCAGAAAACTGTATAAGTCCTACCTTGGTTTGCCTAACCAAAATGCAACACCTCACAGCTGTATAAATTAAACTTTATCTGCCACTCCTCGGCGTATTGGCCCATCTGATCAAGGTCCCGTTGTACTCTGGACAACCTTCTTCATTGTCTACTACACCACCAATTTTGGCATCATCTGCAAACTTACTAACTATACCTCCTTTATTCACATCCAAATCATTTCTATAAATGACAAAAAGCAGTGGACCCAGCACCGAGCCTTGTAGCACACTGCTGGTCACAGGCCTCCAGTGCGAAAAACAACCCTCTACCACCGCCCTCTATCCCTACCTTCAAGCCAATTTTGTATCCAACTGGCTAGCTCCCCTTGGATTCCATTTGATCTAACCTTGCTAACCAGTCTACCATGCGGAACCTTGTCGAATGCCTTGCTGCAGTCCATATAGACAACGTCTACTGCTTTGCCTTCATCAATCTTCTTTGTCACCTCTTCAAAAAAACTCAAGTTAGTGAGATATGATTTCCCACACACAAAGCCATGTTGACTATCCCTAATCTGAGGAAGGGTCTGAGGAATTGTTCTGAGGAAGGGTCACTGGACCCGAAACGTTAACTCTGTTTTCTCCTCCACAGATGTTGCCAGACCTGCTGAGCTTTTCCAGCAACTTTGTTTTTATCCCTAATCAGTCCTTGGCTTTCCAAATGCATGTAAATCCTATCCCTCAGAATCCTCTCCAACAACTTACCCGCCATTGACATCAACCTCACCAGTCTGTAGTTTCTTAGCTTTTCCTTACCATCTTTCTTAAATAATGGCAACACATTAGCCACCGTCCAGTCTTCTGGCTCCTCACTCATTGCTATTGATGATACAAATATCTCAGCAAGGGGTCCGGCAAATTCTTCCCTAGTTTTCCACAAATTTCTGGAAAACACCTGATCAGGAGTCCCAGGGATTTGTCTACCTTTATGTGTTTTAAGACATCCAGCACCTCTTCTTCAGTAATGTGAACTCTTTTCAAGACTTCACTATTTATTTCCCCAAGTTTCCTAACTTTCAAGTCCTTGTCCTGTGGTTTGACACATAGGCAGTCACGCTGATCTTTAAGAGACCCCATTCTCTCCCTAGTTACTCTTTTGCCCTTAATGTATTTATAGAACATCTTTGGATTCTCCTTAACTCTATTTGTCAAAACTATCTCACGCCCCCTTTTTGCCCTCTTGATTTCCCTCTTAAGTATAGTCCTACTCCCCTTATACTCCTCTAGGGACTCATTCAATCCCAGCTGTCTATACCTGACATATGCCTCTTCTATTTTCTTGATCCGAGCCTCAATTTCACTAGTCATTCAACGTTCCCTACACCTACCAGCCTTGCCCTTCGCATTAACAGGAACATTCTATCTCTGAACTCTCGTTATCTCATTTTTGAAGGTCTCCCACTTTCCAACTGTCTGCTAACAGCCTCCCCCAATCAACTTTTGAGAGTTCCAGCCTGATACCGTCAAAATTGGCCTTAGTCCTATTTAGAACTTTAACTTTTAGATCAGGTCTATCCTTTCTCATAACTATTTTAAAACTAATAGAATTATGATCACTTGCCCAAAAGTGCTGCCCAACTGACACTTCAGTCACTTGTTCTGCTTTATTTCCTAAGAGATGGTTAAGTTTTGTTCCTTCTCTTAAACATACATCCCTATATTAAATTAGAAAATTTTCATGTACAACTTTAACAAATTCCTTGCCATCCAAGCCCTTAACAGTATCTACACACAAGCTGAGCCTGCACTGTTAACAGATTGATGTTGCTTTCATGTTTATAAGTTTTTTTGTTAATCTGCATCAGTTTTTAACCTTTTGTATTTGTATTATAGCTAATAACTACATTGCTCTTAGTAAATTTTATCAATGGTTTATCTCGATTAGCACTAAAGCTTTGATGCTGGTTATTTTTGAATTAAAATTTCTAAAATTAAAAAGGAGTTAACCAAACTACCAGTATGGTAATTGTAACTACCTATACTTCACCCTAAACTTATCTAACTTGCTCTAAACAAACAGGACTTTATAAATTCAAAATACATTTTATAAAATAAAAAGTTAAAATTCTGGAGCATGTGTGAAGAGACAAACAGTTAACATTTCAAATCTGATATGACTACTTCTTTTATCAAAATATATCAAACTGCTCTTCAGAATTTAAACGAATGATACAGAAGTTTTTGCTGCTCCACTATTTATTTTATAATAACGCATTCCAGCATTTAGCATGGGTGAGATTGTTATGAAGTTTTACGCAAAACATTATGCGATAAGATGTATCACAGTTTAAATAAGGAGCGTGAATCTTTGTGATGTGAAAACATGCAGAAAGACATGAAGAATTACGGTACCACAACTGAATTTGTCTTTTTCCACTGAGCACTGAGATATTTAACTCATCTCAGTTAAGAAACTGCACCGGTTGCCATAAAGTTTAGAGTTTAAAGGAAACGAAAATAATCTCTATAAATTTCAGAGCCCCTCTGACACGTTCCTGAGTGCCCAGGGTTTGATTCCTCAGTGGTTGCAGCGGTGGAATTCGAGAAGTTTCAATGCGGCTCAGGAAGGAGGAAAATAACCAGAATTCTGATTTATGATTATTTGCTAGCAACCTGTTCAAGTATAAATATTGGGGTCAGAACTGGATTGGATACGGGTAGTCTTGAAAGTTCAAACAGTCTCCCAACACTCAACATCTACATCGGCAACCTTGGCCACTGAGGAATTCCAGAATCTTTTGAGATCTCGTGAGCTGGGCACTGTCAGGAGAGATGGAGGGAAAGTTATATTTTAATCTTTACCTCGCCATTGCTCTCCATCTCCCACCCTGCAAAAGAAAATACTCAGCAGTCTCCTCCTCCTCCTCCTCTCAGACCGTAACTCGAACTCATTGTCCTTTCTGCTGCTGTCACCAGGGTGGAGGATGTACCGAGTTCCCGGTGGGCCGCCGAACCAGTTTCTTTTACCAAGGTTTCTGAAGCCCTGTTCTGAAGAAGGGTCATTGGACCCGAAACGTTAACTCTGATTTCTCTCCAAAGATGCTGCCAGACCTGCTGAGCTTTTCCAGCAATTCTTGTCTTTGTTTCAGATTTCCAGCATCCTCGGTTCTTTTTTTTCTGAAGCCCAAGCGCAGGCTGCAGAGTTCGAGGAGCAAAAATCTGTAGCATGTGGGTAAGCAGTTTAACAACACAGCTTCCAAGCGAAATAAGGAAGGGAATTCCCCTTCTGGGATGCAGTTCTGATGTATGCAATGCAATCACCGCCTCTATATCTGTACTGATATAATCTGCACATTGTATACGAAACAACAACTGAGCCTCAGCGGCTCCCTCTGTTACCAGGCAGCCAACATATCCCACTCACATGCGTCTAGGGGAGAACTACACTTGAGTATCCCGCTGTAATGGAAACAAACTCACAAATGCACAATGTTAACAGTAATATATTAATTATATACGATTATAAACGAATTTTACTTCGAATATTAAAGTAGATAAGTAACACTTTGTGAAATAGGGTGTATGTGAACAAACTCCCCCCCTCCAGTTGCAATGGAATAGTCCACCGCATACCGGAAATTGTCCGGTTAAAGAAAGGTTCCGGGTAAGGGAAATATAACTAACCAAAATACTGAGGACGTTCGAAATCTGGAAATAAAACCAGACCACAGAGGGAACATTCGCTATGTAAGATAGTATCCGAGCAAAACTAAATCGCTATTCGATGAATTTGGCCCTTCCTGACACTCGCGCAAAGGGGGAACTGTTACATTTCACCGTAGTTGTGTCCGGGACATTAAAGGGTAGGACTAGTTGCTGTCGGAGACCATGAGGAATCGCCGGTGAGAAAGTAACTGCTGACGGTGGGAGGGTAATTCAATGTTGGGGGTTGTCGGAGAGGGAACGTAGAAAGGTCGGGAGTAGGGTAGAAAATCTGGGGGGAGGGAAGAGAGTTTGAGTTTCTCACTTCCCCTGGTCAGATGTTTGATCCGAGTTGCTCTGGGAGTTGTTGCTGTATTCGCCTGTAAATGATTGAGAATGTTCTCCCTCTTTCTCAGAATCTGGGCACACATCCATCTGGTTTAGATTTAATTTTTAAAATGGCGAAAGAACTGCGGGTGCTGGAAATCAGAAACAAAAGCAGGAAGTGCTGGAAAAACTCAGCAGTTTTGGCAGCATCCTTTACTTGAGAAAGGATGTATTGGCACTGGAGGGGGTGCAAAGGAGGTTCACTAGTTTGATTCCGGAGTTGAGGGGGTTGGCTTATGAGGAGAGACTGAGTAGATTGGGATTATATTCATTGGAATTCAGAAGATTGAGGGGGGATCTTATAGAAACATATAAAATTATGAAGGGAATAGATAAGATAGAAGTAGAGAGGATGTTTCCACTGGCAGGTGAAGCTAGGACAAGAAGGCATAGCCTCGACATTAGAGGGAGCAGATTTAGGACTGAATTGAGAAGGAATTTCTTCACCCAGAGGGTTGTTAATCTATGGAATTCCTTGCCCAGTGAAGTAGTTGACTCTACTTCAGTAAACGTTTTTTAAAAAAAGGTAGATTTTTTTTTGAACAATAAAGGAATTAAGGGATACGGTGAGAACACGGGTAAGTGGATCTGAGTCCACGAAAAGATCAGCCATGATCTTATTGAATGGCGGAGCAGGCTCGAAGGGCCAGACGGCCTACTCCTGCTCCTAGTTCTTATGTTCAAATGTGGAGAGAAATCAGTCAAAAGCCACACGACACCAGGTTACAGTCCAGCAGGTTTATTTTAAATTACAACCTTTCAAAGCGCTACTCCTTCATCAGGACTTCACCTAACGAAGGAAGAACACTTAGAAAGCTTGTGCTTTTAAATAAACCCGTTGGACTATAACTTGGAGATAGCAAAAACTGCAGATGCTAGAGTCAGTGTCAATACAGTGTGGATCTGGAGGAACACAGCAGGTCAGGCAGCATCAGAGGAGCAGGAAAGTCTACGTTTCGGTTTACACCCTTTCTTAGGACTTTACTTGGTGTCGTGTGACTTCTGACTTTGTCCACATCAGCCCAACACGGGTATCTCCACATTGAGAGAAATCAGAGTTTACGTTTCGGATCCAGTGACCCTTCCTCAGAACTGATGGTAGCTAGGAAAATGTTGGTTTTTATGCAGAAGGTAGGGTGTTGAAAGGCATAAGGAGATAATAGGTGGAGATAAAGCCTAAAGAGAGAGAAGAACAGTTGGACAAAGGATGAATAGCTACTAATGGAGCCTATTAATGGCTAACAACGGATTGACAATGGACTAACAATGGCTTGCTGAGCTTTCCTGGCAATTTCTGTTTTTGTAGCTTAGATTGAAAGTCCTCTGTCTACCAATATGAGTTTTAGGTGGTCAGCCTTGTTTCCAATGTCTTGGGCCCCTCAACACAAACTTCCTCACCTGGTACTAAGACTAGATAAGGCTTTATTTTGTTACACACTTCTGGTTTCTTACCGCTTATTCTGTAAATAACCAGAAAAACATCACAAAGGTATATAAAACAGAAGAATCTAAGTCAGACTATGTTTTAAATGGGTGGGGGGTGCAGTTTATGCAATAGTGTGTATTCATGAATCTATAATTAGAACAAAATTTTGCAAGTAGCAGTTTTGGCAGCATTTGTAGAGAGAAGAACAATTAACATGTGGGGTCTTATTTTCAAATTGTTTACAGCAGGTCCAGTAGGCAGAAGCCCAAGCAGCAGGTGGATGATGATAGTGATGACCCTAAAACATACAGCGATTTACCAAATCCAGATATTGTGAGTATTAACAGGTTGAGCCCATTTCCTAATTGCCTTGTGGAGGACATATGTTTTAGTAAGTTAAATTGATGTACAATCCTACATTGATGTAATAAAAGCTTTATGACAATATCATTGCTATGAATATGGAATTTCATAAAGTACTTGACTACCACATAACAGACATATTAGCAAAATTAAAGTACATGGGATTAAAGTGTCAGTGTGCGTGCAAAATTGGTTAAGGGATAGAAGGCAGAGAATAGCAATGAAAATATCTACTGCCTATTCCCTCATCCCAAATTGCCTGACTACCTTGTTTCAGTTCATTTTCCACTGTAATACCCCTTTAATGTCCTTGTTATTTTTGCCATGATTATTTCATCACGGTTATGCTGACCTATATTTGGTTTTCTGAACACGAAGCATTGAAAATTGCTGTTTACATCCTAACTCGAACTAAGCCTCCTTCATCCATCATCTGTGTGCATGTAGTCTTACATTGGCTCCTGATCAAGCAATGCTACAATTTTAAAATTCTCATTCTTGTTTTCAAATTCTTCCATAGCCTTCCTCCTCCCTATTTCTGTAATCTTCTTCAGCCCTTCAAACTTCAAATTTCTGCATTCCTCCAATTCTGACCTAATCAGCAGCCCTGATTTTAATCCCTCCAAGACGACGATGCTTTCAGCTACCTATGCTGCGAGCTCTGGTGTTTTCCTCCCTAAACTCCTCTGCCACTCTATCCTGTTTTCGTATTTGTCAAGTACTCCATAAAATCTACTTCTTTGTGTGCACCTAGTTTTCATCCCTGTTGTGTAATTCATTGTCAGCCTCCCTGATCACACTTCTTTGAAATACCTTTGGATACTTTACTGCATTAATGGTGCTATATAAGTGCAGTTTAGAATACGGTGGTGCTCCCCAGGGGTTGACTATTTTTAATAGATACTCACGACTTCGGCCCAACAAGTCCACACCAACCCTCGGAGCATTCCACCCAGGCCCATCCCCCTAATCTACACGTCCCTGAACACTATGGGCAATTTAACATGGCCAATCCACCTAGCCTGCACATCTTTGGACTGTGGGAGGAAACCCACGCAGGCACGGGGAGAGTGCTATTTTCTTGTTTGCAAATGAGTCAAAACTATAAAAAAGTCAACAAATTTTCCGACTCCAAAGACTTGAATTAGTAAAGTGAAAAGCAAGGAATTTATGCTAAACCCATTTATAAGACACTGATAATGAACAGATAGCCAGAAGTAGATTGTTAACTTAGCCATAAATATCTGTTTGGGTAATATGGGACAAAATTGCTTGCAATTGTGTGACATTTTATGGTGTAGAAATGTCTGGTTTCGCGTAAAGGAGTGCTTTAACCATTATCTAAACTTAAAGTAGTCTTTCTGAGTTAGCAACAGTTCCCAAACTGCCGTGGGACAAATCACCAGTGTTCTTGATTTGAAGAGGCAAGATTTTCCATGCTAAGAACTAGCATTTATGTAGCATGTTTAAAGTTGTAAAGATGTCCCAAGATCCTTCACAGGCATGTTATCAGACAACATTTGATTTTGAGTAATGGAAGGAAATATTAGGACCAATGACAAAAACTTTGGTAAAAAAGTTGGCTGTTAAGAAATGAGTTAAAGCAAGATAGGTTTTGGAAGGAAATTCCAGAGCTTTGGCTGACGAATGGTGAAGTGAGTACAGTGGAGTATATGCAACATCCCAGAACTGAACATCTTAAAAACCTCCCTGCTCTCCTTTGAAGTTGCTGCTGATTTGTCAGAACTAGCAGTTTTTTAATTGACCTGTTCAGATATGTCACATCTCCAAGGAAGGTGGGAATGGAACCTTGACCTTCTGGCATAGTGGAAAGGACACAATCACTGCACCACAAGACCTTTAAGTTGGAACAAGCAACTGGTGTCAATGATCAGATTGCAATTGTTGCACCTATGGTACATAAATTGCAACTTGCCCAAAAAGCAGCTGCCCGTACCCTGTGATGGATAACACTCAACTTGTTTATTACATCCGCTGTCATTACAGATGCCTGCTCCTTTCATCACACAGCCCTTCCAGCATGTTCAATTGAAACCATAGTTAAGTGCATGTAGAACCTCACTCCATCCCTGCATCCTCTGTGCAAACTCCACCAGCCATAAATCACCTGAAATATTCAGTTCTGCGGCTGACTTTTTTTTTTGGAACTCTCTTCATTAACACCAGTGATGATGCTTTCAGTCACCTCTGTCCTACGTTGCTCCATGTTTTGCTCTGTTTTAAGAGTATTTCAATAGTGTAATGAACTCTCTCTCCATGGATGATTTAAATTGCTTGAGATTTAGTTGGTCATAAAACACATCTGCATGTGTATCACAAGCGTCATCTCTCTAAATTTTCAGTAAAAAGAAATGTATTTCTGGGAACAAGACAGACTTCTCTTCAATAACCCTCTGGAAACTGGGAAGACAGAAGATATCTTAATGACCTGAAAAAGTTAAATATTTAAGAAGATTCCCCATGTGTCTGGTTATATATGTATTGTTGGAATAATGTTCCAAATTATCAGCCACCTTTGAATTTGCCATGGTCAACATTGTGGCTGATAATTTGGAAGCTAATTGGCTGCTGGGTTTAGGACAGGTTGGGATTGACAGGTACCATTGTGGCAATGAAGTGGAATGTGGGCCTGTAGTATTTCTTTGACAATAAAGTACTCTTCTATTCTTGTCCCGTTGCAGAATTCTTCAGAATATTTTAATGATGATGTGGATGAATTTCATCAGAAGAAGCTCCAGGTGAGTTTGAGACACCACGAATGTAGCTGTGAAGTCAGCGAAATTTGTTTTGATCTAACATATGTGTAACTGAGCAATCTCCCATGGTATTTCATGTGGGGAGTTGAGACAAATGTCATCTGCAGGTGAAGCTTGGTTAGAAGGTGAAGAAGCAATGATTGAAGTTCTGTTGTAACTTAGTAAGTAGCAAAAATTAAGGGAATTTTGAAAACAGTTGAGACATTTGAATTTCTCTACAGAACAGGCTGGTGATCTTGCAACTGCAAAACCAAGTTACTACAGTGCAACAATAGGGGGAAGGCTGCTGCTAAAATATGAGAAGAACCTATTGGCAGTTACAGTTATGATTGTGAATATTTATAATCTGGTTGACTGAAGTGTGTGACTGAAATGTAACATCAAGAAGTATGGCTTGGAAGATACTTCAGCTTGCTGCACCGTTCAATAAAAATACTATTCTTTTGTTCTATAAAACTTTGGCTATAGTACATTCACTTCCTTACTCCAAGTCATTACTACATATAATAAACGGTTGTGGTCCCAGCAATGATCCCTGTGGAACCCCACTGGTTATAGGTCATCAACATGAGAAACAGCCCCTTATTCCCACTTACTGTTTCCTGCCCATTAACCAATACTCTGTCCGTGCCAATACATTACCTCCATCACCTTGGGCCCTGATGATTGAATCTTTTGCAAAGTAGTTTGTTGGATGCCTTCTAGAAGTCCAAATACAACACATTTACTGGTTTCCTTCTATCCATTTTGGTTGAGACTGGCTTGAAAATCTCTAATAAATTAGTTAGGCACAATTTCCCTTTCATGACACCATGCTGATTCTGCTTCATTAGATTATGATTTTCCAAAGGTTCTTTCATTATCATAGAAGAATCATAGAATCCCTGCAGTGTGGAAATAGGCCCTTCAGCCCAACAAGTCCACACCGACCCAAGAGCATCCCACCCAGACCCATCCCTCTATAAACCCACCTAATCTAAATATCCCTGAACACTATGGGCAATTTAGCATGGCCAATTCACCTAGCCTGCGCATCTTTGGACTGTGGGAGGAAACCGGAGCACCCAGAGGAAACCCACGCAGACACTGGGAGAATGTGCAAACTCCACACAGACAGCCACCCAAGGGTAGAATCGAACCTGGTTCCCTGGCACTGTGAGGGAGCAGTGCTAACCACTGAGCCCTTGTGTTACTTCCTTAATAATTGATTTTAATGCTTTTGCAACAATACGTGTTAGGCTAAGTGGCTTATACTTATCTGCTTTTTGTCTCCCTTGTTGAACAGAGGTGTCACATTAGCAGTTTTCCAATCCTTGGTCCTTCTCCAGAATCCATGAATTTTTTGAAAAATTATTAACAATGCAACTACCTCTTTTGGAATGCTAGGATATAAGCCTCCAGGGCCAGGGGACCTACCTGGCCTTTGGCTCCAGATGTTTGACTTATCACATCTCTAGTGATAGGGATGGTATTTAATTCCCCCCACATATTCTTTAGCATTAATGGGATGTTCAAAGTTTCAAAATTAAGCAATGAATCTTTACCACCTCGTGAGTACTCTTGGTTGAATGAAAGACTGTGAAGAAAATAGAACAGTACAGCAGACACATTGTGTCGGTGCTGACCATGATGCCATTCTAAACTAATCCTAGCTGTCTGCACATGGTCCATATCCCTCCATTCTCTGCTTGTGCACGTGCCTGTCTAAGTATCTCTTAAACATTGCTATTGTCTCCGCTTCTGGCACCTACCACCCTCTGCATTTTTAAAACAAAACTTTCCTTGCACATCTCCTTTAAACTTTGCCCATTTCACATTAAACTATAGCCCCTAGTATTTGATATTTCCACCCTGGGGAGAAAAGACTCCCAACTCTCCATCCTATCCGTGCTTCTCATAATTTTCTGTCCTTCTATCAGCTCACCCCTTGACCTCCGAAGGTCTAGTGAAAACAATCCAAGTTTGTCCAAGCTGTCCTTATAACAAATATATTTCAATCCAGACAATATTCTGGTAAACCTCTTTTACACAATCTCCAAGACCTCCACATCCTTCCTATAGACTGGTGACCAGAACTATGCACAATACTCCAGAGGAGAGGCACTTTATAGAAGGTAATCTATTAAAAATACGTAACCCCACTTGCCAAATTGAGATTAAGCAAAAGAATAATAGCATGTTGATGCCTTCCCATTGCAGAACTGTGAAACTTAAATCATCTTTATTGAGGATGCTGATAGTGTCATTTTGTGTAACAGAAGCTGCTGGCTGATGGAGTCATTCTGGATGATGCAAATGAAGACTCAGTGGATGAGGTTGGTGTGATCATCTCTACAGCACTGACCCTGAATCCTGTGAAGAATACCTGACTTTTCAGAAAATCTTTGTTTCTAAATCCACTGGTGAAAAATAACTTACAGAAATGTGTTAATAGTCTGTTTATCCAGTAAGATTTGTGTTCTTTGCCATGCACTGGGAACAGTGGGTGTATGTAAATCAAAAATGCTGATCAACAGGAGGTGTTGACTTTGGCAATCATCTGCTACCAGATCACCTTTGAGTTCTTTTGGTAGTTCATAGACCTAGGGGCTTGTGCTATTTGAAGTCAAAAACATTGCTGGATGAGTACTGCAACAGCAAGTGATCCTCTATAAAGAACATTAGTAACTTTTAGCTTTGCTATTATAAAATTCTGGCCAGCTGCAGGTAGTCTGGTTGTCATAAGCATTGCGATGTCAATTATCACTGGTATAGCTTCCAGTTGCTGAAATGCACATAATCATGAATGGTTGATGAGGGGAGAAATATTAGATTCTGGTTGCCAAAACATTTCTGCTTCTTTCAGCCAGATAAGGTACATTTTACTGTATTATTCAGTATTTTACCAACTGAGCCATAGTAGAAATGGAAGGTGGACATGCTCGTACAGGGCAGGTCTGATGAGTTGCTTTTGTCCATGTTCATATTGCTGAAAAGAGAGTGATGTTACTGAAGCTTTTTGTCTTGCACCCATAAGGATAAACAATTGGCATTTTTGCACTTACCCTATTTGACCAAGTATCTGATTAAATAATCGTTACTTCTGTGAAATCCTACACTCCCTAGACTGACCAGCTTTTTTCTGAGTTGCTGATGTTAAAAGTAGCTTGTTGAAACCACTTTGATCACCTGAGCTAGTACTGCTGCCACTTGTCAAGCTTGCCTAAATCCTGCAAGAATGTCAACTGCCTCAGGAGACAAGTACTTTATACTTTTCCTTTCCTCTCATCTGTCTCAGTATTTTTAATGATTCGCCTCCACGTTTGTCCTTATATGTTTCAGCCTTGTTGGCATCTTTAGAATTTGCCTGTTCACTAGGTGTGAACTAAAGGGAAACTGTTCCTGGGTTCTTGTATTGATTGCTACTGTTTCTGGAGAATGATGCCTCCATCATCATTTCCCTTTGGTTATTATGTGACTTATACCTATTAAGGCAGAAATTAATAAAGTTACCAATTAAAATTTTTTCCTTAATGTGTCAACAGGAAGAGGTGATGCCCTTGGAGATACCTGACTCTGAGGAGGATGAGGAAGATGAGGAGGATGAGGATGATGAAGAAAATGTTGACTTGGATAGTGACCTTGAGGGCAGATCAGAAGCTGGTGAGCTTGGTGCTACAATGTGTCAGATTTTACATAATGCACTGAGTTTCAGCAAAACTTATCAATTGCTCTTCACCTGTCCATGCTGAAATCCCCTTTGGATGGGTTCGACTTCAATGAGGAGAAATCCTGTGTGATTGCAGGGAGGGATTAGGTGAATTTCCCAGGACCATAGCACCACAATATTCAGGGATAGGGTATGTCTTTTGCTTCCCCATGAACAACTGCACGACTAGCATTTATTGGTGTTAAAACTGACTCAGAGATAGTAGGAACTGCCAATGCTGGAGAATCTGAGATAACAAGGTGTAGAACTGGATGAACACAGCAGGCCAAGCAGCATCAGAGCGGTCATTTTTCTGAAGAAGGGTCCAGACCCAAAATGTCAGCTTTCCTGCTCCTCTGGTGCTGCCTGGCCTGCTGTGTTCATCCAGCCCTGCACCTTGTTGTCTCGGATTCTCCAGCATCTGCAGTTCCTACTATCTCTACACTGTGTTATCTTAGCTTTTATTGGGCTCAGTAAGCAAGTGCTGTAGCGACCTCTGGTGGTGGAAACTGCATTCTGCAGTACAAGAAATGAATGGAACTGATACAGTCATCCACCTAACATAGGAGCCGGTAACAAATTTTTACCCATCTCTGTCCTAAATGTTTTATCCCATTTTCTTAGATTGTGAACTCTGGTGCTGGATTCCCTTGTGATCAAGAACATCCTTCCTGTATCTACCCTGTCTAGTCCTGTTAGAATTTTATAGGTCAGTCCTGCCATCCCAAGAATCAATCAGGTAAACCTTTACTGCCCTCCCTATATTGCAAGAATGTCCTTCCTCAAGTTGGGAAACCGTACATATTATTGCATTATCATCAATGCCCTGTACAGTTAAAGTGGGACAGACCTGCTCTTGTACTCAAACCTTCTCGATATGAAGGCCAAATTATCATTTGCCACCTTTACTGCCTGCTGCACCTTGCTTACCTTCAGTGACTGATGTATAAGGACGCCCAAGTCTTGTTGCACATTTCCCTCTTTCAATTTATAACCATTCGCATGACATCTGCCTTCCTGTTTTTGCTATCAATGTGGATAACCTCACATTTTATCCGCATTATACTTCATCCATCATGCACTCACTCATATTGTCCAAATCACATTGAAGCATCTCTGCATCATCCTCACTGTTCACCCTCCTATCTAGCTTTGTGTCATCTGAAAACATGGAGAAATGCCATTTATTTTCCTCATCCAAAATCACAAATATATTGTGAATAGCTGGATTCCTAGCACTGATCCCTATGGTACTCAACTGGTCATTGCCTGTGATTCAGAGAGAGACCCATTTACCCAACTCTCTGTTTCCTGTTTGACACCCAAATTTCTATTCATCTTGATATGTTATCCCCATCCTATATGTTTTAATTTTACATTCTAATCTCTTGCATGGGCTATTGTTGAAAGTGTTCTGAAAGTCCAAATAAGCCACATGCATTTGGCTCCCCTTCAGTTGCTCAATTCGTTACATCCTTGAAGAATTCCAGTAGATTTGTTAAGCAAGAGTTCCCTTTTGTAAATCCATGCTAACAGTATCCAATCCTGCCACTGTTTTCCAAATGCTGAGCAATTAATTCTTTTATAATGGATTCCAACAATTTTTTTCTCACCTCTGACATAAGGGTGACTGGTCCACATTGCTGGTTTTCTCTCTGTTCCCCCTTCTTAAATAGAAGGATTACGTTAGCTACTCTCCAATGTGTAGGCACTGTTCCAGAGGCTATAGAATCGTGGTAGATTACCAACAGTGATGGCAGCGCGGTGACAGAGGAGCATCAGCCCAGCCGCGAAAGGTGGTGCCTGAAGAGTGGCGACTTTATTGTTGTTTCGGTCTGGTGTAGACAGTGGTGAGGTGGTGGAGGAAGGGTGGCAACACAAGCATTGTTGATGATGAGCTGGCTCAGGACTGATGGACTGTCTTTAAGCCAAATCTTTATTTTTTTTTTTCTTATTCTTAAAACTATTCAAAATAGCACCATTCCATGGCAACAGTGGAGAAGCTTTTCACTGTATTTTACTATTTTTCTCACTATAAAATCCACGCAACCGTAAAATCATTCTTCAATGCATCCACTTTTTCCAGGGCCAATTTAAGTACCCTGGATGTAGATTATCAGGTCCTGAGGATTTATCAGCCTTCAATCCCATCAATTTGCCCAATGCCATTTCCCTAACAATACTGCCTTCAGTACCTCCCCCACTCTAAACACTATTCCCCAATGTTTTTGATATGTTATACTTATGTCCTTTTGTGAATGCAGAACTAAAGAATGTATGTAGTTGGCCAGCCATTTCTTTGTTTCCCATTAAAAATTCTCCTGTTTCTGACTGAAAGGGGCCTATATTTGTCTTCACCGATGGTTTTCTTTTCGTATAACTGTAGAAATGTTTACAGTCAGTTTCTACGTTCCCCGCAAGTCTACTGTAGTCTTATACTTTACTTTCCCTTTCTTAATCAGTCCCTTTGCCCTGTTTTGCTGAATTCTCAACTGCTCCCACTCTCCCATGTCTTTGTTTGTTTTTTCTGGTCAATTTGTATGTCTCTTCCTTGGATCTAATACTATCTCTAATTTCCTTTGTAAACTGTGGTTTAGCCACCTTTCCTATCTTTTGTGCCAGACAGGTATGAACAATTATTGCACTTCACCAGTTTGCTCTTTGAATGTTTACCATTATCTTTTTATCATCATCTCTGTAAGTACCATTTGCCAATCTGACATAACTAACTCATGCTTCATATCATTGTCGCTTCCTCTGTTTAGATTCAGGAACTCATTGCAGAATCTATTAGGTGACTCCATCTTGATGAGGAATTCTGCCATGTTATGGTCACTCACACCCAAAGGGCCTTGCACAACTAGATTGCCAATTGTTCCTTTCTCATTAGACAATACCCAGTGTAGGTTGGCTTGATCTCTAGTTGGCTGCTCTACATTATTGTTAATGAAACTTAAACATGATGCCTTTTCCATGTCTGGCCACTCCTTTCTTTTTAAGGAATAAATTCTCGTTTGAAGAGTGAGATTGACAATCCCATTTCTTATTAACCAAGTGTACCAGCTGTTACATTTTCCTCAGTTACTTTTTAATAAATTCTACAATATTACCTTGCCTTGTAAATTCAAAATTTTTTTTTAAACATGATTTATTGCACTATGTTTTGAACCATCTGACTTAGAAGTGTATATCCCTGCTTAAAATTACCTGAATACATATTGGAAACTGTTCTCCTGAACTATTTGCTTTATACTAAAACTAATGTTTCTTTTGCTTTTTTTTGTTTTGTAGGTCTCCCCAATGAGTTGGCCTGGGGCCAGAAGAAAGCTACATATTACAGCACAGACTATGTCGACGAGCTTCTGCGTATGTGCAGTAATTTCCCATCTTAAATGGTCTTCAGCAGAGGGAATGAATTCTTCCATTGGTTGCATTTTGTCAAATTGTAGACCAATTCTTGATAGACAGATTTTCATTTTTGTTGCATGCGCTGCACTGAAAGCATCTTTGAGAATTAAAATAGATTCATTTTAAAATGGGAATTATATAACAGATCAGTTATCACCAGAATGAGAAAATAGGGTCATGTTTTGGACATAATCTAATCAGAACTGATGATACTAAAGTCACAGTTGTCCACTGATACTTGAGCTATGCCACACTGTACTCATTCGATTGTTCCAAGGCCGTTTGCTACCCTTGCAATGTGATGAGAGGTGTTTTTATGAGTAGCAGTGAGAAAAGGAGTCACATTCTGTAGTGGTGATAACATGTTGAATACTATGACAAATGAAGGCTAATTGCTCATTGCATGTTCTGGAGCATAATAGAGTTAATGCAGATTAGCTCATCTTGCATTCTCCTACTATATTTTAGGATCCGGGTGCTAGATCTGCATTTGTCTGTCACTATATAAATGATTTGGATGAGAATATAGAAAGCATGGTTAATAAGTTTGCTGGTGACATCAAGATTGGTGGTATAGTGGATAGTAAAGAAGGTTATCTAAGATTACCAAGAGATCTTGATCAGTTGGGTCAAAGGGCTGAAGAATGGCAGATGGAGTTTAATTTGGATAAATGTGAGCCATTCCGTTTTGGTAAAACAAACAAAGGCAAGACTTATACAATTAAAATTAGAGCCTTGGATAGTGTTGTAGAACAGAAAGACCTAGGGTTTAGGTATATAATTCTTTGAAGTTTTCCATCACATGTAAATAGGTTGGTTAAGAAGGTGTTTAACATGATTGCCTTCATTGCTCAGTGCTTTGAGTATAGGAATTGGGACGCTGTCTTGAGGTTGTACAGGATGTCAGTGAGGCTTCTTCTGGGGTACTGTGTCTAGTTCTGGTCTCCCTGTTATAGGAAGGATATTATCAAGCTGGACAGGGTTCAGAAGAGATTTACCAGGATGTTGCCGGGAATGAGGATTTGAGTTATAAGAAGATGCTGGATAGGCTGGGACTTTTTCCAGTGGAGCATAGGAAGTTGAGAGGTGACCTTAGAGGTTTATATAAAAAAAGAAATTCAGGGATATAGATAAAGTGAATGGTAGGTATCTTCCCTAAGGTGGGGAATTTCAAGACTAGGGGGCATATTTTTAAGATGAGAGGAGAAAGTTGTGGTTGGTTGGTTGGCTTGCCGAGCTGGTTTGTTGTTCCGCAGTGTTTCATTACCCTGCTGGATAACATCATCAGTGCAGCATGGAACTCGACCCCATATACACTCCACTACGAAGGAAAACCGGAAGTGAGGTAATCCAGCTCAACGGACTCCAGACTTTAAAAACCAGGCGGCAAAACACACCGACGCTTCATCGAAAGCTGCAGTGATGATGTTACCCAGCAGGGTAATGAAACGTCTGCGGAACAATGAACAAGCTCGGCGAGCCAACCAACCACAATACCCACAACCCGAGCTACAAATCTACTCCAAAACCTTTTGAGAGGAGAAAGATTCAAAAAAGACATGGCAGTTTTTTTTTTTTTACACAGTGTGGTTCATGTTTGTGGAATGAACTTCCAGAGGAAATGGTGGATGCAGGTACAGTTACAATGTTTAAAAGACATTCAGATAAGTACATGAATAAAATGTTTGGAGGGAAATGGGCCAAGTGCAGACAGGCGGGACTGGTTTAGTTTGGGATTATGGTCGGCATGGACTAGTTGGACCAAAGAGACTGTTTCCAGACTGTATGACTCTATGACCAAATTTCGTACCTTCTCATTCAGTACATTGTCTTCTTCTGTAGCTGTTAAATGTTCATTGAGGAATCCTGCACCTCCATGTTCACAAATTGTGATTTTGTTGTATCAAGATTGTTGCTTAGGCATCAGAATTTGTATTCTGGTATGAGGGATCTTCTTCATCTGCAAATACCTTGTGAATAATGTTATGTCTTAAAAATTGCAATGAGATCCACTTTAGCATGCAATGCCTCAAGTGTCCATTATCATTCTTTATATCATCCACGATGCAGTAAATTTGGATCTGAGTTGCAGATTTCCTCAACATCCAACCTTTTGGAACCAGTAGATGTTGTTACTGGGATATCTAGATTGGTGAATGTTTATCTTTGCTTGAAGTCTCATCTCCAAGCGACTCTGTGGCAATGCATGACTTGTTTGAAATTTTCTGCCACTGATCCTGGGAGTTGTGTGAATGCAGCAAGCAGCAGATTCCAGATACCCTTACAAAACGTGGTACGTTATTGCACTTTGGCTTCAAGTTTTGCAGATTACTTAATTGGTAATCTCTTCATTTTGAGATGAGAATCCTCAGCTAGAAAATTATGATCTTGAATTTTAGATTTTGTGCTATTTTGCCCTCATGAACATTTTGCAGTAAAACACAAATTTACTGTGACTGGATTCTCAGTTTCTGGCTTTTTATACACAGGTGGTAAGGGTCAGGAAGAGGCACTGGCAGAAGCTGAGGAGGAGGAACAAGAAGCTTTGAGTATTCAAAAGCGTTTGGCAGAGAATCTGACTGAGGAAGACTTTGGACTTGACCTTATTCAGGTAACCGGTGATGGATATTGAGGCTTGAAAGTGGTTCTTGCCTCAGATTTGGTGTGTAAAGTCAAGTTAGCTTGAAAGGAAGTTATCAGAACAGAACGTTCACTTCCCTATCCCTATCAACCTTGAGCAAATAGTTCCCCAACAATTTTTTTTTTAGATGCAACAGAGGTAATGTTGACATCCCTGGTATCCTTCTTTATTGTGTATTATTTTTTAAGCTAAAAGTGCTGGCCTATACATTCTGGTTTCTTTCTTCCACATAATTTAGGTTTGGCTCAACTTTCATCTGCTTTTACAGTACTTGCTTAATTTCAGCTGTATTTCTGGCATTCATTGTCTTTACAGTGTATCAATTCATATAGCTGGGGTTGCTTGTTTGAGTGGAACTGACCTGTAGAAAGTAATGGGAAAGCAGAATCCTTACCATTAAGTTCCATGAAGAATTAATCTTTGCACCTAGCTGTCTGATCTGCCAAAAGTTGATGGAGGGAGGTGGATAGGAGAGAGAGCTCAGACTGCTATAATGTGAGACCCAGCCACATCCCTCACGCCCTTAGTATTTTGCAATTTTTTTTTAAACTTTAAAAGCTGCTTATGTTCAACAGCATCAAGTCACCCATGTCTAAGTATAAAATTTTCTACTGAGTGATCTTTTGAATCAGCATTTGCTCCTGTGTCCCTTCTAGGACAGATATTGGAACAGTCAGAATGTTTTTTCTCTTTCTCTACAATTTCTGGAAAGAAGTCGCTTGGTATCTGTTTGGTACATATTCTGCCCCTTTCCTGGCTATGACATTGTGATCATATTTATTTATTTATGGTGGAGCTGTACAAGCCAGATCCCAGAATGTAACCTCGTTCATAGATCATAAGTGTTTTTTTTCATATTTTCAATTGGTTACATTGGTGGTTAGTCCCTGACCATATTAACATGAGGCTGTCAAAGTTCATTTAACGCAACAACATACCTTTATTGCAGAAGGGGGAGAAAAAACAGCTGTATTTTTGTAAGTTGGTGTGAGAAGATCGTAACATAAACCACAAGAACAATGATTAAATCCTTTTCCAAGTACAATCCTTTATAGATTCTAAATCTCCAAGAAATGTTACTCCTATCCGAACTCTTAAATTTCTTACTTAACTGACTCTTTACGGTTTTTCTTCTTGGACTGATGGAACAGTTGTAAGACTTCCTCTCAGTTATGAGGGCCTGGATTCTTTTTCAGTTTGGAAAACGAAACACTTCTATAAACTCTCTCTAACTTGGAGATTGTGTACATGTTACAAGTTGCCTGCTACTAGGATGAAATTGGTCTCCTAAACTGAGAACCTAATTTTTCTGCTCGGCTGAAATTGAAACCTGATTCTTTGGAACTAAAAACCATTGTCCTCTGATCATTTGTTTTTGTGTATGTCAAAATCAGGTGCAGGGGGTCCTCTCCTATCAGCTATCTTAACTTGTTGGAAGACTAATTCTACATGGTTTTCCTTTGTAAAAGATCAGCAGTCAACCTTGATTTTGTTTCCTAATTACTACACGTTGCAAAGTTTAAATAATATCAATTGAGAGAATCTTCTACCAACACAGTGTTAGGAAGAATGAGCAACGAGGCAAGATGTCTTGAGGGCTGCCAGAGTCCCTTCAACTGTCTCTCAAAGAAGGCAGGATTTTCAAGAAGGGCCAAGCTGAAGATTTGATTATTTGTGTGTTCTTGTCACAGGCATTTGCCCAGGAGCAGGCAACTGAGAAAGCAACTCAAAAGGATCTGAAAATCAAAAAGGATTTGAAGAAAATGTCACATAAAGAGCAGATCAGTCTGCTGAAGAAAGAGTCACCAGAACTTCTGGAGCTCATTCAGGACTTCAAAACAAAGGTTAACAAAATGTTGAAAGCTTCTCTTGAATCTATTCATCTGATCTGTTTTATTTCTGAATGATGTTAAGTGGCATATAAATTGGATTATAAATAAACCTAAAATACAATAAAACAGATGTGTGCTATAGAGCCATAAAAGACTTCATGTGCAATTTGTTCTTTTTATTTGCTGTTGGAATGTGAACATTACTAGCAGAGGCATTTTTATTGCCCATCTCTCATTTACCCTTGAGAAAGTAGTGATGAATTGTGTTTGTCATATAAAGTGTAAAGAAGAATATGTTGATTATTGATGGAAATGGGACTGTTCTTTCCAGTAAAGATTCCCAGAGCACTTTGGAGTGTTGAGATGTTTATTCAGGCCAAATGCACTTTATCTGCTTCTCAATTATCTGATCTGGGAACTTTCTCAAACAGGCAAAGTTGCTTGACTGGCTTACCAATGGCCTATCCAACCTGTATTGTATTAATGGTGCAGTAAGGTGGGAAAAGGGATGAATAAAGCTGAAGTGGAAGTTTAATTTTAATGCACAGGATTTGCCTATTTCCAGTTTGCTCTTGTGAATTTGTATTGTACTCGAGGCAGAGTCTCTGTGTTCTGAATTCAATAACTTTTAATCTCTTTTCAAGTTATAGTTGTTGATGTAGAAAGCAAGGAAAAATTGGTGACAGCTCAGTTTTCAGGAAAGCATAGATTGGGGGACACTGCTGAATCCATGCACCTTTTAAAAACATTTTTTTTTGCTAAAGTTGAATTCAAGTGCATCCTAGCTCAGATGCAAATCTGGAGGTTTTACTTTTCATCAGTTGCCTTACTATGGGATGCAGCGTCTGAAGTGTGAAACTGTTGCAGTAGTACAACGTCCTTGATTTCTTTCCCCTTTTTGCAGGAAGATGTCTGACTTTCACTAACTGTAGAAATCTTCCTTTACATGAGCTATTAAGAAGATAGAAACCTTGGACATTCCTATCTTTTTATTTACATGTTGATTGTTAGGATTGTGCATTGATTGTTAAACCACTGTTGCTAAGTTACACTCAGCAGTTGATTAGTTTCTGATTTGTCGTTTTGCAGCTTGCTGAGTTGAGGGATGAGTTGCACCCGCTGATGGAGATGGTGCGGAGTGGGAAGATACCTGCAGGGAAGGTATGATGGAACAAATAACTAAATGAGTGCAGATGAAGATCAACAGAGATTGAAATATCTGGATCATTTTGTAATAATTGTTCTGCCTTGATTCACAGGGTGCCAGCTATGTGCAGACCAAGTACCATCTGTACCTGAAGTATGTTTCTTTGACAGTACCTTAGAGAATCTGTATCTTTTCCAAAAACTGGTGGGGATGGGAAACCAAGCAGATGCTTCAAATGCAGGATGTCCAGCATGTTAGTCACTAGTCGCTGTATGTGGCTCATTAGTAAATATAAGTCAGTAATGGCCATGTGCTCTAAATTTACATGGTGTCTGCATGTATCTTTTCACCATTTTATAGGAAAGGAGAAAAGTGTCCAAGTATTTTAATTGGGTGCATGTTATTCATTGGTTACTGTTTATTTGATTATTGTCTAAAATGATATATATCACTATTGGAAATGTTGGATTTCAGCAACATATTGAGGAGTAGGAGCAGTCACCGTAGAATAATCACTGATGAGGGAATGTGAGATTTTCTTGTATTATTCTATAAAGAGTGTGAAGTACTGCACATAAAAAATAATTTGTACTTCCAGTAGCAGTGTCTTTCATATTTTAAATATTCTACATTTTGCTTTTTGGTTTAAACTTTCAGACATTTATGATATTCTCGTTAATGAAATCTCTCTAATCCATAGTTACTGCACAAACATCAGTTTTTACCTAGTACTGAAGGCCAAGCGGATCCCAGTGCACAGTCATCCCGTGATTGAGAGGCTGCTCACCTACAGAAATGTGAGTATACAGCTGTTTAACCGCCAGGGTCTTTAGTTTTCCTCTCTGTATCCATGGCTATGGTCACAGGGATATCCTGGGTCTGTTTCAATCTGTCGTTCAGAATCTAGTTCCTACACACATGAATAAGATTTAGTTCTGGAATGCTTCTCTGATTTGTTTTATTTTCTTCAACCAACACCTTCCCTAGCCCAAGCAGCATCTAACTTATTCACTGGGCTGTAAAGCCCCTGGTTAGATTACTGAAGAATCTATAACTATACCCTCTGGTTTGGGTGA